TTCAAGATGATAACACGGTAGGAATAAATCGGTCCTTGTTTTTTGTGAAATTTCCTGTTGTTGCCTTATTAGCATCTCCTTGATGTCCTCCTTGGGTTTCTGGACTGCAGTGCTATCAAAGACACCTTTGATGGCTTTAGAAGAGAGGAAAACTTCCAAGTCTGGAACAGCTTCATCAATTACCTATTTCTTTTCCACTGCCAAGGATGCAAATTTGATACATTACTCAAGAATCCAGAGCTTCCAACTCCTTTTTCTTCTTTCTTTCTTATCTTTGAGATCTGTTGGCTAGGTGTATTGATTTACATAATTGATTTTAATTGGTTTTAGTAGTTGTATTCCCCCTTGCTATTAGTTGGTGTAATCATTTTGAAACATGTCCATTTGTAACTCAGCGTATCCTTAGTAGTAACTAAGTATTACAGTGCCTAAGCTCAGTACTTTCACTGCTAGCTGGGAGGATTGCTGTCTCTACACACGTGAGTGCTTGTGTAGTTTGGCTTACGGTTGTTCAGTTCTTAATTCTGACATTTTATTATGTTAAAAATAGTGAATGACTCACTTCTTTAGACGTGTTTTTACTTGTGATCTGTGTGAAGCTGCCCTTGGATGGAAATAGGAATTTGATTAAAAGTGCACAAAAGTGGTATTTAAAGCTTTTTTTTTACTAGTTAACACTAGATTAAATAAGTTGAATGTCCAGGGAAATAAGTTTTGGTTGTTGTTTCTTTTTCTTGAAGGTTTATTGAAGTGTGAATTGTAGCTGGTGAAGTTAGAATTCGAGAGGTATTTAGATGCAGATAGGAACCTGTGAAACTTTCATAGATCTTTAAGTGTTTCCCAGAATTTTGTTGGAAGTTAGGCGTCTAACCTGGCAGACTTCTTAATGGGATTTTCAGAAGAACTTATTTCTTTTCCTAGTATCAAAATATCTAAAAAAACAACAAAAAAATTGCATATCTATGTATCTGTTTCGCCCTTGTAATTTGGAAAAAATAAAGCAAATTTTCTTTTGAGCTAGTCCAGTTGAAGAATATTATATCTATATACCTTATACTTTTCCCTACTAATTAAATTTGAAATAGTCAATAAACTTATTCCATGCTATACACTGAAGTATAGCGTTAACACTTCCATATATGTAGTACAGTATGTATCTCTATCAAGCTTTGCCTGACCTCAGAAGATAAACAGATTCAAGGAAGGCAATTAATAGCCTGTCTCATAACTCATTAACATTTGATGACTAATTTTTGGAATGCTGTCATTTAGATTTGAAGTACATGAACAAGTGTTAAAAGCCACCTCATTAAGCTAAAAGGAATAATTACTTAAAAACAAGCCCTCTTACCAACCTGTTACTTAATGTTGCTCTCCAGCTTGATAGGGAGTTCCTTGGGATCACCGGTAGCGTTTTGGTTTAGTTGGCAGTCCACTCCCGCTGTGGCCTTCCAGCAGCTACCTGCCAGTCCTGTTTTAGACAGCTGACTTCCAAGAAGTTACCCGGAACAAAACGGTGGTGACATCATTGAAGGGGAAAGTCTTATTCACAGAACTTGTACCCAGGGATTATTTTTATTCTATCAGAATTTCAGTTCAGGATATTAAGCTAAGTTCAGCCATAGGTCTTTCCAGAAATGTCCACTGCTGTGTAGTTACGAGAACTACAGGAGCCCGGCGTGCATCTGTAGACATCGTTTCAAGTTTATAGCTTTTCAGTTTTCTGAGATCCGAGATCTGTATGCTGACCGAGCACAGCGCAGCAAGAGAGAGATTGGGAGTGGGGAGAACTGAGCCTCTTGCAGTTCTCCTTTGGCAAGTATGTGGCTTTGGACAAGCTGATGCTTATTTCAGTGCCTCAGCTTTTCAGCCTCTAAAGTGAGGAGAGTATCTCCTTTAAAATTGTCTTGACCTCTTCAGAGAGGCGTGAGAGTGGTAGGTAGCCTTGGATGACTTTCTAGGCACAAAATGATGTTCCCACACCACTTACCCTAATATTTTGAACAGATTCACTTGTTATTTTACCCCAGAAATTCAGAGATCCTTGATGTATTAGTTGTTCTCCTGAGGAGTATTTAGTGTGCTTCCAGTACAAGGGAATGGGATGTGACAAATACAGAATTTTGTTCTCTAGCAAATGATTATCATTGGCAGCAAAACCCAGTATGGATGTGGAAAACAGGAATCATGTACGTAGCAAGTTCCTGCCATGTGCACCTCCCTGGAGCACATCACGGAAATGAGATGGTTTCAGATCAGCTGTAAACCAAGGACTCCAGCTTTGTAAACGTACAGTTCGTAGGTGGTTCACATCGCATAAAAGTTCTGCAACAAGACTCCTGTCACCTCCTCAATCTTTTCTGCTACTGAGGGTCATACTCAAATGTTCCAGCTATTTATAGTAATTAATTTCACAGTTTCAGCTCGTCTTCTGTTGAACAGGTCTGCTTTTTCAGTTACTGTCAGCCACATGCTGCCAAAAATGTCTTTAATCTTACTAGCAGGTGTATATCAATTTCTCCATGGCATCCTTGACTGGTTCTGTTACCTAATGACTAAAACCGTGCGTATTGGTTTTCCTCTTTGTTCCTGTTTCTGAAGATCTATATATTCTTTAAAATGACATCAGAATAGGAAGTTATGCTATCAATGACTTCTTTTGCTGAAGCTTAGTACTACTGATGCTTTTCCCAAACAGAGCTTAATCCACCAGCTTGTATTGTTGTTGAAACTTTACTCCTAAGCCAGGAAAAACAATGCTGTAGAGAGACCCGGGATACCAGCAGAGCCACGAGCTATTTATTTCTGTGGGCCTAACACACTTAGGAAGTCTGCGTGTCTCTGCAGCCATTTACAGCTCGGTGCAAAATCTGTCAGTGGATTAGGTTGCATGTTAAGCAGTTACCAGATAACCAGGATAGTGGTCAGTGATGCGGAGATAGGATGCATACTAATTTGGTGAAAAGAAGCTGTGACTTGAAGCAGAAGGTCATTGCTTTAGATGAGCAATATCTTTGTATGTCCTCGATACACTTGTGGTTTAGTGACTTCAGTGGTCAACTGCACCTGAAACTTGAAGGTCCGAGGCCCAGATTTGTGCTAGTATCTGTTTTTCTAGATAGTAGTCTCTCCTTCTTCCTCCCCCAAATATTAACGCCTTTTCTGTTTTTCTTAATTAAGTGGCTTCACCTGAAAAACAGTGAACACTGAATTTGACTTAATTTGACTGGTTTTCAGTTAAACCACCAGTGAAAACTAGGAGTTTGAGATTCCTGTTTGTGTGTATTTCTTCACTGAAAAAGAACAGTGACACTAAATTAGTAGTAATTAAAGTGGTATTTATTAAGCATATCTGTTTCAAGTGAGTGAATGTTAAAAGACAGCTGTCTTTGCATTGTAGTACAGGCAGGGCCCTGTTGAAATAGCAGGGCTTTGATATGGCTGGGGGGTATTTCTACAGCCTTCATCTTACGCCAAATTGTGTATTTTTGAATGGAATTTAAAGTATGTCGTTTCAAGTAAGGTATTTCTGCGCTCCCCATTCATCACAAACTACAATGATAGTGATGTCTTAGACATTAGACAAACATGTCCCTGGTTCTTCCTCGATTCTGGAATGCAAAAGAACAGTGCAAAATTAAATAAATCTGGAAGTATTTGATAGATGTGGTACTCTGGTGTCCTTGATGATGGTGATTTTACTGTCACAACCATCCCATTCTTAATTATGTTTCTGTGTTCACATGGATGATAAGATAAAACCTGACCCTGTTTTTAAGAGGAAGAGAAATGTCCAAACAAGAAAACAGACTTTGGTAGCCTGTGATCATTGCTTTATAACCGCTCCCAAGTGTTTTGACCCCTGCTATTCCAGCACCCCTTTGCTCCTATTATCTCCTTACTTTTCTTTTCTCCTGTGTGCAACAGTCATGCTTATTTGGCTGTACGGAAATGACTTGGAAGGAAAAAAAAATGGAACGTGAAATTTTAATAGGTGAAGCCCTTCTGCACAGAGAAGATGAATCAAATAAGCATTTGGGAATATAGGTGGTTAGGGTTTTTTAATCCTTAACTCCGGTTCTGCTTGTTCTCTAGTAGAATGCCAAAGGTGAAATAAATGGGTTGATGATGATGTTGAGAGTTTAGTTAGAAAATGATGGAATGTTGAAGAAACTGCATTTATATTTTTAGTGGCCTGATATTGATAAGCTTTAAGTAGACAAAACCCACAGAAGCAGAAAAAGTAGCCGTTTAATATGGAAATGAAAAAAATGGCTATCTTATCAATGGTTGAAGGAAATCCACAGGTATACTCAGTGGGAAAACTGGGTGATTCTTGGAAGAGGAATAAAGCCTCACTGAACCTCATTTTAACTCTCCAGCCTTAGAAGCTGTGTTGATGAAATAAATTATCTTAGTTCATGAGTCTAGGTCTTGATGAGAATTAATGTACAAACTCTTCTGCTTTTCATTTCTCTTTGATACTTGTTCAATTTTTTTTCTCTACAAGAGTTTTAGTGCAAGTAATTAAGTACTAACTTAGAAATAAGTTCATTAGACAATTACTTTTAAGGGGTAACTATGAAAGGTTTTCGAAAAAGTGCTAATGTGTAAATTAATTTTATTTTCCTGCTTTCAGTTGCTCAAGTGCAGCCACTGATCACGAGATGTTACCACGAAATCTACCTCAGACTTCGCTTTTACTCATTCGTTTGCTGCATCATAGATCTCAACAGGAGCTCTGCAGACACTCTTGAAAGTCTCTGAACAGATTGTGACATCAAGTCAAAGCATGATGACCTAATAGTAGGTCAAAGTCTGAAACGTTGATTCAGCAGTCCAAGATAACACTGCCTTTTTTTAATCACTATCACTTGTGAAGGCTACAGACCTCCTGCCGTTTCTTCCCTGGTTACTTCAGAAACGTTCAACTGACCTTTCTCTGGCGAAAAGATCCTGACTTTTCTCTCTGGTCCTGGAAATATTAATGGAATACAGTCATGTCTACCCAGGACGAGAGGCAGATAAATACAGAGTATGCTGTATCCTTGCTGGAGCAGTTAAAATTCTTTTATGAACAGCAGTTGCTAACTGATATAGTGTTGATTGTTGAGGGCACTGAATTTCCCTGCCATAAGATGGTTCTTGCAACGTGCAGCTCGTATTTCAGGTAAGTATTCAAACTAGGATCTGTTAATTCTAGAAAATCTGTCATACCTGGTTTTGAGTGTAATATGACTTAATTGATTTACCCATTAATGTGTTGCAGAGGGTTTTAAAGCTCAGTGAAGTCAGTAAAAAGCCTAAATATCATTACTTGCCAACACCAAAAAGAGTAAAATTTTCCAGCGTCTTGTGACTTACTCTGGATAGGTACTGTAGTTTTTACAGTAAGGGGGCGGGGGGGGAAATCACACTTGCGATGGTCTGTTTTCTTTAGGGAGTTAATTGAGTTAGCATAATTAGTATATTTCTTACTCTTCATACTTAACTTTTAAATATTTAATCTTTTTTTTTATTTCCCAAGGTAGGGTAACAAGGGTCTATTGAGACTTGGCTGTGGGAGTTCTGTTGTCATGTTTATTAGCTGTAGTTTCTTAGCAGAAGCCTGTGCTAAAAGTAGGGATTGCTGTGCAAGCTCATTGCTGCTTTTTCTGAATCATCTGGTTTTCTCTGCTGAGCAAAGAAGCCAGAAACTCTTCTCTTGCCTGCGAGTCCTGCTGCAACGCAACAGGTTTTGATTGTGTGTGTGTGGTTTTTTGTTTGTTTGTTTTCCCCACTGAGATGCTGTTTCAGTTTTAAATTCAGTAGCTCCTGCTTCCCAGGTATCCTGGTTTTTGTCTTTTTCAAAAATTTTTATTAAGAAGATATGTCAAGTGCTACTACTTTTTGCAGATACCTTCATAGCAAGTCCTAGAAGATGAGGCACCATGAATTTTCTGCAGTGATTAATCATTTTTTCGTTGGCAACAAAGTATAATTAATCTGCCTGTCTGGAAGGAATTTTGAAGCTTGAAACTAGTCTTGGTGACATCCATGCATGTTTTACCTTCCTGGTGCATTGTGGAGGGATTATAACTTTTCTTTCCTGTTTGATCAAGGGAAGATTTGAAAATTCTGTTTTCTCGTTGAGGTGGGCTCACTATACAGAACTCTTCTGAAACGTTTTCTGTATTTTGTCTGCTTTCTTGTATAGAACTATTTGAGGATTAGTTTATTACTTTCACAGAAGCTTTTGTTGCTGCTGGTTTTTGTGTTAATTTCTTCATCTGAGTCTGCTACAATTTTTCAGCAACAAGTGTTGTGTGATCACTAGATAATGATTATTGCCGCTGGGCTTGTGCAGACGACATAGTTCCAACAGTCTATAAAATAGCAGCTGCTGGAAACGTGGCCAGATTTAATGTGGGTGGCTAATCATAAGGTTGGAAAACTGTCATGAGTCCACGCAGTGTGCTGCATTAGAATATGCAGTCAGATCTCTTATTCACATGTGTTTGTTTATTATTTATGGAATGAGGTTTTGGCACTGGTTAAAAGAAGTATCAAGCTCGTGGTTTTGTCATGTTCTGTTTTTCTTCTCTACTTTGGTTTACAAAAAGATGCTCAGCTTCCTAAATCTAGCTTTGTTATGAAAAATTGATAGCCCTGAAGGAGGCTGTGGGGAGAGAGGGAGAACAACAGAAAAGCATCTCTTGGTGTGATCCAGCCATTGCGTATGAGTGCAGCCAGCTCACCTTCCATCTTCCTGCTTGAACGTTGTGCTGCGGGAGCCCGGCTACGGCCCGGCCCGCTCAGCAGTGTGTGAGCCTGTGCTAGGGCCAGGTTCACTAACAGCTACCTCTTCCCTTCCGCGAAGAGGAGTCTCTGCTGGCACTTGTACTGCCTTGCTTCCCTTTAAAAAGCTGCACGGCAAATTGATACTCACTTGGCCAGTCAGTGATCCCTCCTAAAATGCAAGTTGCTGTGAGTTAAGGAGCTTCGAAGAAGATGGAGAGATGAGGATGGGGCAGGAGGGAATCCTGGTGGGGCACTGGCTTTGTATCGGATGCTTCTTGGAAGGGCTTTGCTTAGGGGGTGTTAGCTCTGTGTCCCCTTCACCTCCGCAGCTGGAGGCAGGACGGTAGGGTGCACTGTCCCTTCTAACTTCTCTCACATCTGGTTTCCTAAAAAGCCCCAAATAAATATAAAGAGCCTTGAGCTGAATTTTCAATACAACCATAAATACCAAACCTGAATTAATATAAAGCTCTTAAAATCAGTGACCCCCATTTTAAGAAAACTGGCAAGTTTACAGTGCTGGAATCCAGTTAGTTCTGAACTGTGTTACCGTTAAAAAACCAGAATGGGCAATAGGTATATAAAGCATTATGGAAACAATAACTTTTTTTTTTAAATTGCCTTTCTACTTTTTTCAGGAAGATGTAAAGGAAATACCTGTGCCACCTATCAAGTCTGATAGTTTTTTGTGTCATTGATTTTTGTCTACAAACTTGGAAATTTACTGCATATTATGATGAGTTGGTATATCAGAAATACTTCACAGAGTGCTAGTCCTTGCTCCATTTTTCTGAGCTAACTTTCTCCTCCTCTCAGAGGAGCACGCTTTTTGGTATGACTTAGCTCAGTCCACTGCATAAATCTGCTGCTTTTGTGTTAGATTCTAAAATCTAGCTCTATATATTTCAACAGGATTTTCTGGAGGATGTTTCTTCTCTGTTATTGTCACCTAACATGGAAAAAGTTTTAAATTTTATTGTTAAAACTCTAAAACCATTAGAGTTCTCTGCTGATTAACACAAAAGTTTGCATAAATGCAAAATATTTCTACAGAAGGCACTGATGGTACTTTTTGAATGGTCTGTACAAATCCTTTATCTTAAATACTAGATGGTAGCCTAAGGTAAATACTAAACACCTGTAAACAGGCAACCAAAAAGACTGTTGACCTTTTGGAGTGTAATCACTGATGACTTACAGGTGGCTATTCAAGGTTACTGTACTTACTGTTGATCCTTGTCTTACTATGTGTGTTTCTCCTCAGAGCCATGTTCATGAGTGGGCTAAGTGAAAGCAAACAAACACATGTGCACCTGAGGAATGTGGATGCAGCCACTTTACAAATTATCATAACTTACGCATACACGGGTAACTTGGCAATAAGCGACAGCACAGTAGAACAGCTGTATGAAACTGCCTGCTTCTTACAGGTAGGAATGGTTTATTTTGACTACGAAGTAACTGCTTCTCATCTCTGAGCCATTTTTTTTTTCTTTATGTTGTTAAACAGTCTTTTCTGTTTAGTCATTTCAAAACATCCTTGTTCCATTTGCTCGGTATAGACAGCAGTTGCTTGCCAGATACATTTCATGTACCCGTCCCTCCTTGCTCGACGGTCCCTGTGGAGGGTGGAAGTAAAACAGTGCGCTTCTGACATTTAGAAAATTAGTTTCTCCAGCAGATGTAATCATGTGATGTACTTGATCTGTATGAAGCAGTTGAGTAAGTCACCGCTGTTATTTTTGTGTCTATGTAGTATTCCAGGCCTAAACTCTTGTTCAACACTAAACGCAGGTACTTTTACCTGCTGCTGGTATGCAAATGAATAGATTGTATGCAGTAATGCTTTGTGTGTTTCTTCCTTGCATTCCAGGTAGATGATGTGTTACAACGGTGCAGAGAATACTTAATCAAAAAAATTAACGCAGAAAATTGTGTGCGTCTATTAAGTTTCGCTGACCTCTTCAGTTGCGAAGAGTTAAAACAGAGTGCTAAAAGAATGGTAGAGCACAAGTTCACAGCGGTGTACCACCAGGAGGCTTTCATGCAACTGTCCCATGATCTACTGATAGATATTTTAAGCAGTGACAATTTAAATGTGGAAAAGGAGGAGACAGTTCGTGAAGCTGCTATGCTATGGCTGGAGTACAACACAGAATCACGATCGCAGTATTTGTCCTCTGTCCTTAGCCAAATCCGAATCGATGCACTTTCAGAAGTAACACAGAGAGCCTGGTTCCAGGGCTTGCCACCTAATGATAAATCAGTGGTGGTGCAAGGACTGTACAAGTCCATGCCCAAGTTTTTCAAGCCCAGACTTGGTATGACAAAAGAGGAGATGATGATATTCATTGAAGCTGCTGCTGAAAACCCCGGTAGTCTTTATTCTTCTGTCTGTTATAGCCCCCAGGCAGAAAAAGTTTACAAACTCTGCAACCCTCCTGCTGACTTGCATAAGGTTGGGACGCTTGTAACTCCCGATAATGACATCTATATAGCAGGTGGGCAAGTTCCTCTGAAAAACACGAAAACCAATCACAGTAAAAGCAGCAAACTCCAGGCTGCCTTCAGAACTGTGAATTGCTTTTACTGGTTTGATGCACAGCAAAACACTTGGTTTCCAAAGACACCGATGCTCTTTGTCCGTATAAAGCCATCCCTGGTCTGCTGTGAAGGATACATCTATGCAATTGGAGGAGACAGCGTCGGTGGCGAACTCAACAGGAGAACTGTGGAGAGATACGACACGGAGAAAGACGAGTGGACCATGGTGAGCCCCTTGCCTTGCGCATGGCAATGGAGCACGGCAGTAGCAGTCCACAACTGCATTTACGTCATGGCACACAACTTGATGTACTGCTATTTTCCCAGGTCAGATGCTTGGGTAGAAATGGCTATGCGGCAAACAAGTAGATGTTTTGCTTCGGCTGCTGCTTTTGGCGATAAAATATTCTATATCGGAGGACTGCATATCGCCAGCAATTCTGGTATAAGGCTCCCAAGCAGTACTGTAGATGGGTCTTCCGTAACCGTGGAAATCTATGATGTGAATAAAAATGAATGGAGAATGGCAGCCAATATCCCTGCCAAGCGGTATTCTGACCCCTGCGTTAGAGCCGTCGTCATCTCGAATTCTTTATGTGTCTTTATACGAGAAACCCACATGAATGAGAGAGCGAAGTATGCCACCTATCAGTATGACCTGGAACTCGATCGGTGGTTTCTAAGGCAGCATATATCGGAACGCGTGCTGTGGGACTTGGGGAAGGACTTCCGGTGCACCGTAGGAAAGCTCTATCCATCTTGCCTTGAAGAGTCCCCATGGAAACCTCCAACGTATCTCTTCTCACCAGACGGAGCTGATGAATTTGAGCTGGATGGGGAGATGGTTACGTTACCACCTGTATAGCTCCCAAATTAGACTGCGCAACTGATTCTGTGCTCAGTTATCTCGAAATAAATGGCCGTCAAAGAACAGGTCTGGAAACAGAAATGTCAAACCTGTCTTTCATGAGTTGTGTTTTTATGCCCTACCTAACATTTGCTGCCATTCAGTATGAAATCAGTGAAATGAGCAGATATGCTTCCATAATCTGAAATACTATTATCTGATAATTGAGAAACATGTATGTATATCATGAGCTTAAGCATCTGACTTGTCTAAAGAATTAATTTCTAGTTCTATGAAGTCTCAGTTCAGGAAAATTAGCTTCAGAAAAAAAGTAGTTACTGTTTCTAGGATGATGTCACAACTCTTTTGAAAGTATCTTCCAGTTATATTTCAACTACTTCTGGATATTCTACTTAAGTGCTAGTTATATACTTGTCAGTGTGGCCTAATTAAAGGACTGTGCTGCACTTACTTAATACTAATATCCATGTTGGTATAGTAATGCCATTAAAAGAAAAAGAAACAAATCCCATGGATCTACCTGTGGTAGGAAGGGTAGATCTTCCATTGTACGGTAACATGCAGGGCAAAATGACTGCAGGTTCAGTCAAGCTGTATTATTAGGTGCATGTATTCTATTTTCACTAACTTATACCTGTCTATTTAGAATACAGGTCTTCCAAGCAGCTGGTAGTTTACCAGGTGTGGACTTAAGTTGCTGGGCTTGCAATAGAATTGTCAGCCCTCATAGTGCGGGTCTGTGTGGAGCTTTAATCAGTACATGGCTCCACGCTCTGTATTACAGTAACATTGGCTCATGTATATTACTTCCTGCTGCTGATGTATTTTTCCATTGTAAAACAAAGTTTTAGTGTGGATTAACCAGGTCTTTTATTTTCTGTTAATTTAATAACAAGCATTACTGTAGTGTGATTGTGTATAGAGATCCCTTAGCTATCAGGTTTTTTTTTGTTCTGTGTTTTTTTTTTTTTGTTTTTTTTTTTTTTTTTTGTTTTGTTTCTTTTTTTTTTTTTTTTACTTTGGGGGGGAAGCAAACTGTTCAGGAATACCCTGCGCTCAGCGTGCAGGAGAGCAGATGACTAGTGCTGCTCTGGCATTAATCCCAGGAACCACTAGCAGTAGCGGGGTGCCGCCAACCTAACATGAACACAGGTGCTTCATGACAAACCTTACTAGCATGTTCAGCTGCATCATGTTCTGGCACTGTATTTTGAATGACATTAATTTATTAAAAAAGACTGAATCCAACACAGTTTGAGTGTGCTTTCTGGTTGAAGTAGATAGAGTTATGACACCCTCCCACCACACACACACTTCTAGCAAGTAATTTGTTGAAGGCAACCTGAAATAGTTAAGCTGTGAAAACAAGTACATTAGTTGAGTGTGCTTTACTAGTCGGTGAAAGCTGGGAGTGAGGTAGTGAAGTCAAATGGAGGATTATATAGAACTTGAATCCCCCAGTGTGGTATTTGTTAATCAGCACTTCTCCAATCATGGGACCAATTCTGCTCTACTACAAGTGAAGAACAACAGGCAGTAAGGAGGTAAGGAGGAATCTTTTCTGTAAGATCAGAAGATGGGAGGTCTCTTTTCAGTCTTCTAATATCAAGAACAAATTTATTTACTCCATTGTCCGGGCCGCCACTGGCTTTTCCTTAATTCTGTTTCTTATTCCAGTAAATACAGTTACAGCTTTCAACAAAGATGACAGCTATATAGTGTTGTGGCTAGGCCTCAAGCGGATTTACAATGTTTTGTACAATTATTAAAAGTTTTGAGTGGAAGAGGGGCTTTAGATAAGAAACCTGCTTTGTATAAAACTCTTCCTTATGCTTTGGCATTTTGTACATTGTTGGGATTTATGGGACCCAGAATAACGATGGCTCCAACAGAAAGAGGCAAGCTGCTGTTTTTTTTCTTATCAACCTGACATAACATGTTTGTATTTACCATTACATCAACTTTTTTTTTTTTTAAACACCTGAATTGCTTAGATAAAAGGGGAGAAGCAACACAGGGACTCCTGCTGCTAGGGCTGCGTCTGTTGCTTTCATGACATCCAGTTGTCAGCCTGTTCAATGATGTATACATTAAAAGAAAAACAGTGATACTACTTCATAATGCAATTTGGAGAATCACATACCTCAGGAAGAAGTATGAGTGGTATCCCAGTAACGCCAGCCTGAATGGACTGCCCGGTTGTGTGCGTCATTCTCACTTCAGCCTGCTGCGTCAGGCTGCATTAGGCTTTAGGACAAGCCTAACTTCAAGTGCAGATGATCTATAGCTAGCGAAGGAGCACAGCGGGTTGGTCCTGTTACTGAGAACTTTCAACTTGAGTTTAAAATCTTATGCCTAGTTTCTTACCAAAGGGAGGGGGTGTGTAAATTTGAATAGGAAATAGGAGACTAAATGGCAGTGGCTGTAAATCACAGTTGCCTCACAGAACTTAGAAGAACCATCCTTCATTTTATCCATTTTGGAACATCTTTTAAAATACAGATGGTCTAGATGACTTCCTGCTCGTCTGCATTTTATATATATATTATTTTTATATTGTTTCTAGATTTTTCTGCATTTTTTTATTTTACATGGTCTAAGATGATGTAGTACCTTATTTAAAATTAATTTACTATTAATAACACAGTACTTGAGACTAGTCAAGTATTGAACAGTTCTCTAGTCTGTTAAAGACACACTTACTATTATTCACTTACTTATACAACTAGTTGCTGCAGTCAGTATTCAACCTCAAAGGAAAACACAGCTGGCAAATGCTATTCTCAAGTCTAAATTCTTCCCTTGCATAATTCGAGAAGGAAACTGTGCAGGCAAAGCGTTGTCATGTGCCTGGAAATAGTCACCAGTGGTAGAATTAGAGAAAGACTTCAGTGGGAACAAAGACAACAGCTGAAAAAAATGCAATTCTCATTTCATAAATAGAGCAAATATGATTAAAGCCTGCACAGTAAGACTAAACTAGTATCTTACTACAAAGCTTCAGCCAGTACTAGCCTATTCAGCCTGTACTTGGCTTTGAAGTACATTTACATACAAGTTTCAATGAATCAACTTTGTATGTCCTCAAGCTTTGCTATATTGGCAGAAAGTTTGCTTCTTTTCTGGTAGAACTACTTTAAGTTAGTCCTACATAGTTTCAGTTCCCCTTACCTGAAGTAATAAAAAGAAGTGATCTGGCCTCTACTAATTTTTAATGCATCCACTTGTTTTTACAGTTTAAACGCATACTTAATTGCAAGTTTAATTTTTGTTCTAAAGGGAGCAGTCAGATCTAGGGCAGTGAATTGTGTCAAGCTTTAAAGAGAACAGGATCAGCTGGATAGTTAATTTGGGGGGGAAATAATTTCATAAAATTTTAAAGATTTTTTGTTTTATTTAAAGGACTGGTTTAAAGCACTGCTTTTCACAATACTTCTCATTTCACTTTTCAGTGCTGCTGTTAAGATGCACTAGCATGTGCCCCATTGCAGTACAGCTAAGGAACAGCCATGGACAAACCTGCAGATCACTGAACTTACTAGCAGGCTCAGTTTTTCCTCCTCTGTTTCCTATTTACAGCTACCTTCAAATTGTTTTCTCGTTTTGGATCTGGATTCCTACGTGAAAGAAACTGTAATTTAGGCAGACTGAAGTAGACTCGCCCTTAAAACCAGTTTCTTTCCACTTCGTGCTCAACATTAGCCAAAATCCTGTTCAGTTCCACTCCAGGAGTATTTAAAATATCTCCCTCCTACAACATTTATCATGAGTACAATTCAGCAAGGCACAGTTCTTACTCACAGAGCTTATAACCTGGAGGAGGAATACTAGCAGACTGAATAAAATGCAGGGATCACTGGTGATGGTGGGAGGCAGCCTATATGAAATCTGCACATCTTCACACACCTCCCAAGTTCCATACTGGAAGAGGTTGGTAAACAGCCAGAAGCAGCAGGTCAGAGCAAGGCCTGGGTCAGTACCGAGTTACAGAAACTTTGACATGGAAGAAAGGACTAACAGAGAAGATGGGACAGGCATGGAGGTGAAAGAGCAGTAACAGTATCTCCGTGGGTGCTCTTCTCCCCTCCTGCTCTAAAACACGCAGCTCTTCAGCCAGCTCTTCGGCACAGCATTACACACATCACAATATACATACACACACCATTTATTAAGAGCAGCAAAAGTCAGTAACTGCAGGTCAAATTAAGCAACACGTTAAGCTCAGCGTTATTTTTTGCCACTTTCTGGTATGCCTGAACTTTTAAAATTCTCAACCGTGTTTCTGTCTGCATTTCATAAAGTCTCTGAATTGAGAGATGAGAGACCAATTGAGGTTCCTTCTTCAGTATTCTCCATCTGTTTCACATAGTAGGCAAGTGATGTTATTCCCTATCTTGTTTTTAAGACAAGAAAATACCTTTACATCTGCCTTCAACTTTAGTAACTTCTTCCTTCAATCTAAATGTTCTTATTTGATTTTCTTGATGCTCACCTGATCTAGAAAGCAGTGGTACTTTCTTAGTGATCTAGATTAAGAGAAGAAAAAAAGATTTTGTAGATGTTCTCTGCTACTATTGAGGCAAACAGTAATTATGCTTTCATCAGTATTAGTAAATTCAGGCAGGGAAGTAACAAAAAAAAAAATAATCTTATTTTCTATCAGTTGGTTTTGGAATAGCATTACAAGAGGAGCAATGTATGATGAGGCAGTTTTGAACCTATATAGGAGGACTCAACAAGACAGCCAGACTTCGGAGTTCCACCCCAACTGAGATTAAGCCACCTGCATACAGATGTTATGCACACAGGATGTCACTTACGGGGAATAAGGTAATCTGAGTAAGGTTCACTATATCACCAACTATTTAACTGACACAAGTGATCCATCTCTACATTTTTTAATGAATCCAAACTCTGCTTCTAATGTTTGATAGAGAATGGGGTCAAGACCAGAAACATCACAGAACTAAAGCGCTGTGCCTGCTTTTTTTAAGTCAGTCTCTCCTCTACTAAAGACTTCAAACACCATGAAGCAATTTGCCATACATCTTTAATCATAGTACAATAATGTAGTGTTTCTGCCTTTAATGAACACTCTCCATGTTGCCCTTTTTAATGAAAACTAAATACCTGCAAGAAAGTAAAATTACACTGCATAAACTACATGATGTAAATTTATCTTTCGGTGTGCTTGCACAACTACTTGCATATGTTGGAAAAATTTTAACAAATTTTGGAGAATTGCAACCGTTTTCTAGACCTAAGCTTCATCTAATTCACATCTGAAAGTTATTCAAGGCAGTTCTGTTTCCTCCTATGGGAAACAGCAATTTACCAAATCATTCTCAGCCAGGTACAATGACAGTTACAGTAGAAGTTTTAAAGTTTTAAAATAGTTCACTATGGCAGAGAACTGGGTGTGCAGCAATTAATTTACTCAGCATCCTGATTTTTACTAGATTTCAGAATCCACATGAACTACGTAC